TGGCACAACAACCGCCCTTTTCAATGTTACTGAAGATATCCGAGAGAGTATGGAAATTTTCAAATTAACAATTCTAATATTAATAAATTTTTCTAACGCTTTCAATACTGTCGACTATTCTATGTTGCTAGCTCAACTCTTTCACTTGCATATCTCGTCTTCAGCCCAGGATTGGTTCTCATCATATCTTCTAGGGTGCCAACAGACAATGCGTCCTGGCCGTAATGTTTCGAATTGGAGAGATGTATTAAACGGTGTCCCTCAAGGCGGTGTTCTCTCACCTCTTCTGTTTTAAATTTTTATCAATCTTATCACATTATACCTCAAGTGCTCTTATCATCTGTATGACGATGATCTATAATGATATGCATAGACGGAACCATCTAATATTTATAGTTCAATAGCGTTACTAAACGAATATTTGTATTATATCTTTGAATGGTCCACTGTGTTTGGAATGATGGTAAGTGATAGGGTATTAAATGTATAGTAATACGCGATACGCCTCTGCGCTTATATTTAAGGTAATCGTTAAAGAATCAAAATATAGGTGCATTGCAGCTCTAGGGATAAAAATGTAATGTCTTCTTGCTTGTATAAAGGTCTCCGGTTCTCGTCACTCACTTTACTAATTATATTTATACGATTCTTAAGTGACGACAGTTGTAGATGTTTACAGCATCCACTTACCATACCACTTACCAAATCCACCAATGAATTCGTTTTTCATGTATCCCACAAATCATGTAGAAATTGGAAAATTTATCTCAGAGTTGCAACACAATAAGGCACCGGGCATAGACGGAGTTAGTAACGCGCTTGTAAAATTTATTAAACACAAAATTATGACTCCACTTGCGTATATTTTTAACCTCAGTCTCTCATGCGGTATTTTCCCAGATAGTTGGAAAACCGCTTCGGTTTGTCCGATTTATAAAAAGGGACCTAAAAATTCTGTCAACAATTAAAGACCCATCTCGCTTTTAGTTGTATTTTCAAAATTACTTGAGAAACTAGTAAATAAACGCCTTGTTGATTATCTAGAGAAACACAGCTATATCTCCCCAAAACAATTTGGTTTTCGTAAGGGTAAAAACACGGAAGACGCTGTAAAACTACTAACGACCACTCTATCTGCGCAACTTGATAGCAAAAAATCCTGTATTGGGATATTTTTGGATCCATCCAAGGCGTTCGATACTGTATCCGTTTCTATTCTCTTGAAAAAACTAGAAAAGATAGGTATTCGAGGGGTAGCCATGGATTGGTTTAAAAGTTATTTAACAGATCAAAAACAGTGTGTAAAAATTGGTCAATTTATTAGTAGCTTACAACATGTCAGTTTTGGAGTCCCACAGGGTAGCATCTTGGCACCTACATTATTCATCTTATATATAAATGACATTCACGATATAATTCTTGCAAATGCCGATATTTTATGCTACGCCGATGACACCGCTGTTCGTGTGAGTCACTTATGCGGGTTAAGGTTTTAAAATATCTTGGTGTGCTTGTTGATGAAAATCTGGGATTTAAATCGCACATCGAAGTTCTTTCAAACCGAATCAGAAGGATTATCTATATAATGAGAAAGCTACATTATATAGCAAATAAGATAATACTGAAATCAGTATATTATGCTCTTTGTCAATCGCTGATAACTTACTGCATCACATGTTGGGGTAGTGCGTCCAAAATATATTTAATACAGATCGAGAGAGCACAGCGGGCAGTTTTAAAGGCAATGTTAGGAAAACCATACAGATACCCTACTGTAAGCGTATACAAAGTTGCCGAAGTACTCACTGTACGCCAACTTTTTGTACTAAATACGTCCTTAGCAGTACATAAAGGTGTATTATCTTCCCATGATCACAAACTACTGACTAATCGCAGGGTATACAGACTATCCATACCGTCTGTCAATACTAAATTTGCACAACGTTTTGGAGACTTTATCAAAAGACAAATTTATAATAAGGTCATAAAACATTGTAATATTAGTAATAAAAACTACATATCTGCCAAATTAATTTTATTGAAATGGTTGGTCACCCTATCATATGAGGAAACAGAAGAATTGTTAAAAACTGGCTTTTGCTAATTGATGGTATTTGCAAAATTATTAGATAAATTTTGTTATTGTTCTAATTTTTATTAAAATTTTTTTAAATGCACATATTAATACATTTCAGTTTTATATAGCTTACCTTTGTTTTTATAGTTTTCTTTCTTTTTATGTTCAAATATTTAAAGCAATAAGCAATTCTGTTATTGTTGTTTTGTGTAATACAATCTGTCTGATGAGGTGTATAAAATAGCGCTTAATGAACTATGGTCTCAGGTTTCCTCGATACAGGCTTCCCTAGTGAGGAAACCAACAGATATTACCCATTGTATTATTTTTCTTACTGCTAATAAAACATTTTTCATTTTTTTTCACCATTCGGTGGACAGTTGGTTTCTTTGTCATCCTTATTATTAATTAAAAGAAACTTTAAACGTAAGAAACAAGATATATATATTAGTTATCTATTTTAAGTCACGTAAAATACGATTGTGTTAGCACGGAAATATAATTACGCACACTGCTAGTCTGAGCGCAGGACTGCCAGTTGTTTTTATGTTTAATTAATGGCCATTGTTGTACAATTTTATTCAACGTTTTCATAAACTGGCTTATTATGAACTACATAGCTGTTAATGTTATTATGTAAGTATTTAACAAAGCTGCCAGTTTTCAACTTATTTTTAACTTTTCAGTTTTTATAACATGGTAGAGGGGAAGGTTAATGCTCACACAGAATATCTGCGTCAAATAGCAGTTTATTGCTGCTGTGGTTCCTATGGTGAGTGTAGATAACCAGAGATCCTTTTGACTGGTAACAATGCATTCTGTATTAGTACTTTGAGGTGATAACGCATCTATATTTAATTCATAAACGAGGATAGATGTAGGTATCAATCAGTCATAATTTTCATTTACCATCAGATGGACTGTGTGCTCGTATGTCACTCTTATTTTTATATAAATAAATATGTTATGTTATAAAATATGTTTTAATTTTCAACGCTGCTAGTCAGCGTTCGAAGGAATACGATTAACTTCCTGTCACGCATTCCTTATAAGTTTAAAACAAGAGAAAACGAAAGAAACATGCCGTGTTTCAGTGATTACATAATTATAAATTTGAGAGTCCTTCTCTGCTCTCTGAGTGAGGAACTCAAAGTCACTCATGAAGTTATGAAAAAGGCTATATTTGTATATTCTCTGCGTAAAAGAATTCATAATAAAGATATCCGCAACAGAACCAGAATTTGTGCCGGTTATATAAAACGAAGAATTAACAGCCGATGGAGTAGAAATCTTCTTGAGTGGCAACCTTGTATTGAAAAGCAAAGTGAAGAAAAGCAGTACTAGAAATAGTTACGACTGAGTAAGATATGAAGGAAGGCGATAGATGCAGGTGGCTCGGGACTTGCGATCTTGGGAAGCGATATGATGATGAACTGAGCCCTGTTAAATCCACTGTTTTTCTTGGTATTACTCTCGACGCAAAGCTTCAGTAGAGCCACCATATATTGAAACTAGCAAACAGACTAAGTTCTGCAGCTTATGCTGTAAAAAGATTAGAGGTCTCATTAGTGTCAAGACAGCTAGATTAGTTTATTTCAGTTATTTTGCATAGCATAATGTCTTATGAGATTTTGCTATGGGGAAATGCAGCTGATTTAGAAACTATTTTTGGTTTACAGCACAGGGCATGTTTATAACATAAAACCGAGAGAATCTCTTACAGAAAAATTTTAAGAAATAAATATGTTAATTTTGACCTCTCAATGTATTTACGAAAATTTAATGTATGTTCCCAAAAACAAAGGCAGTTATAGTAAAAAAAAAGTGTATACACTCTGTAAACCCAAGGAACAAACACTAGCTAGTGATACCAGTTTTTCGACTCCACAGAGTCAATAAATCATTCTTGCGACAATGTATACGCTATTACAATAAAGCCCAAACAATATGCAAGGTTTCTTGTTGTATTTGATTTTTCTAGTTATTTATATTATTAGGTTATAATAATAATTTGATATGTTCGTTGAAACGCGAAATTAATTAATTCTCGAATTTTATTAGTACACACTTACATTCGCTTAACTTGTCCAGAGAGAGAGAGAGAGAGAGAGAGAGAGAGAGAGAGTGTTGCCCACACCACCATTTTAAAGTTTCCCATTATGTGTTACCACACTCTTCCCCACCCACAATGGACCCAAATTAGGACACATTTATCTTATTTTTATTTTAAACATAATGTGACGCTTCATAATTATTATTAATAAATAATAATTAAATTCAGTATTTGATATAAATATTGTGAGCCTTTTACAAGCGGGAAGGGATTAATTAATAAGGAATTGACTGTTGTGAACTAGATACAAGTGGAATAGGGACAATTTATTGTTCTTACCTTTTTTGAGATCTGTCTTCGTGAACGGGGTTCTTTAGCTTATAAGACGCTACCAACAGCTTTCTGAAAGAAGAATATTCATTCTTCCAAGATACACCTAAAAGCACTAAGTTACTATACAAATACAATGTAAATAAGGGTTCTAACTAAGACGATCACGCCATAAATTTATTAAACGGCCTATATTTAAATCTTTAGAAAGATCAATGTATGATTAATATACTGTTCACGTAAATTAGATTTATTTATATATGTTATAGATATAGATTCTAAAGAAATACAAGTATAAGTATATATAGAAGAAAAGAGGGGGGGGGGGGGGGTTCGTTACAATAACATACAACTTTACCTATATTGAGATACAAGAAATGAATGTATCAGATGAATAAATTAACAACTAAGTATGATTACACCAGATTACAATGTGATCACCAATGTAAAAATGAAAAAACCCTTGTGTGATTCTTGCAATTATACAAAAGTGAAGGTTATTTATACAAATAAATTATAAATATTACATGAATATTCACCTTATACTGTTACTGCACACTTCAACATTTGATTCACATGACGTTTTACAAGTCGCCCCTGAACTTTAATCACTGCTTTACTTCCACACAAATCCATTTTTTTTGCCTTATTTCTATAGTCCCTTACCATCACCTTTTCCCCAACACTAAATATTACCGACCTTCTTCCTCGACTACATCTTTTTTAATTTTTCATCAAGCATTTGTAATCGTGCACTAATTGGTGGTGGTCTTAAAAGTGAGGACCTAGATCTTAGTTCACGACGAAATAATAACTTTGTAGGGCTAACACCGGTGATTCTATTTACACTTGTTCGGTAGTCGAAAAGAAATAAATTAATGGCATACTCTAAATTATGATCACTTTCTACAATTTTTCTTACATGGCTTTTAAAAGTTTGAACAAATCTTTCTGCCGTCCTATTTGTCGCCGGATAGTAAGGTGGTGTATAACTTATCCTAACACTTGTCACATTGCAAACTTCTTTAAACTCGTTGCTTGTCCAAGTTGTACCATTATCCACCACCAAATGGAGCGAGTAGTCAAATCTAGAATATAAATCTTTAAAGATTGAAATTGTTTTACATGTTGTAATACTTGACACCATAAAGGCTTTAGGCCATTTTGAGTAACTGTCAACTATTACAAGGAACATTTTCAAATAAATGGGGCCAAGAAAACCTGCATGCAACTTTCCCACACAGACTCAGAACATGGCCATGTAGACAATAATGCTTTCTCTGGGTTATCACGATTTTCTAGACAAATTAAACATGATACTGTTATATTGCTTATGTCCTTGTCAATTGTTGGCCACCAAAAATAAGAAAGTGCAATTTTTTTCATTCTATTTGTTCCAAAATGACTTGAATGTAACTCATTCATGATTAAATTCTGTAGGCATTCAGGAATGACCACTCTATAACCCCATAACAAACGACCTTGATCAATTGTTAATTAATTTTTTCTGTTAGAGAAAGGTCTGAACTGCTCACTTAATTTGTTTTTATCTGGCCAGCAATCTATACAGTACCTCATAACAGTTGACAGCAAAGTACATTTAGCAGTATCTTTTACAATATCTTTCCAATTAACACTTTCAAAATTTGACAATGACAAATAATTTAAAACACTTACTTCACTGTTATCTAACAGTGGATGTTAAAAATTACTTTTATCATCAAGTGTGTTTCTTGCAAAAAATCTGCAGGATTATTTTTCGAATTAATATGACGGATACAATAGTTAAAGTCTGACAAAAATATGGCCCAATGCTGTAAACGTTTAAAAGCCATTTTTGGTATTCAATTTTTAGGGCTAACAATTCTTAACCGGAGCTGCATTATCAATTTCTAATTCAAATGTTCTTGCAAATAGATATTCATAAAACTATTGAAAAAGAGGCATAAGCTATCATATTTGTTACTCCAAATATGATAGCTAATGCCTTTTTTCAATAGTGGGGTACTTAATTTCCCTGTCATTTAATTTCTTACTTGCAAAAACCACAGGTTTAACTTATTTATCCCTAGTTCTCACAGACAATACCGCTGCTACACCACATTTAGAAGCATTACAGCTTAATATTATAGGTAAATCATTACAATAATGTGCCAATGTTGTTGTATTAGCTAACTTTTCTTTTTTTTAAACGCTACATCACATTCAATATTCCAACTAAAACAATCATTCTTAAGGCAGTCATACAAGGGTTTTAAAATTATTGCCATATTTTTAAGAACCCGTTATAATAATTGATTTTTCTTATAAATAAACGTAGCATCTTTAAATTATTAGGTTTAGGTAATTTTAATAAGGGTTCTATATTATCTTTTATCACTTTAATACCTTCCTTTGACACATGATAACCAAATACCTTTAAAGATTGTTTGAAAAACTTACATTTATTAATTTTTAATTTAAGCTCAGCTTCTGTTATACACACTAGTAGTGATCTTAATCTCCTATTAGTTTCTTCCAATGTGTTTCCAGCTATATAAATATAATCTATATAAACAACTATACCTTTTACAATTAATGTCTGAAATGAACCTGATCCCGTGCTTAGCCCATAGGGCAGATACAAGTATTTAAAAATGCCTTTCTCTGTAACTATTGTGGTTAGTTTTGTGACTGTTCATTAAGTGGTGCTTGTAAATATGTTTCTTTTAAATCTAGTTCACAAAAGAAATTATTATTTTCAAAATCTGCTAATATTTGATTTATTGTTGGAAGTGGGAAATGATCAATAACTAAGTGGGGGTTAAGTGTGACTTTATGGTCCCCACATAATCTAACTGAGCCATCACTCTTAAGAACTGGCACAACGGGCGTTCTCCATTCACTAAACTCAATTGGGGCTATGCGACCATTTTCTAATAAACCTTTGATTTCATTATCAACTTTTGATTTTAAAGAAGAAGGAACACTTCTAGCTGGCAAAAACTTAGGAATAGTGTTTGCTTTAAGTTTCAGAGAAATAGAGGCCTTTTTGAAATTGCCCCATCCTGGTTCAAATACAGCAGAAAAGTCATTTTTTAATTTTAGAAATGTGCTGATCTTCGTTTAATTTACTCATATTAACATTTTGCCTTAAATTCAATGGCCAAAGTTTCAGATGAAATAACCAATCCTTACCGATAATCCTCGGGGGGCCATCAGGCACTACGACCAAAGATAAATTATCACAAGATACCTTATCATAAACAACAAACCGCTACCTAAAATACCAATTGGTTTTGAAATTATTTGGTTATAGTTTATCATAGTAAGGCAAAACTCTTCTAGTTTTAAATTAGGAAAATATTTATTTTTATCACTGATGTTCGCGCAAAACTGTTGTCGGAATCGACATCAGATGTCACTCGGCTCGGCGCGATTCCGGTCTGAAGTTCTTCCGAGCGTGGCAGTGGCGCGCGAGTCGCGAGCGAAAAGTCAGTCGTCTTTAATCGGTGCTGACGTGAGCACGCGGTCCAGTCTGTTAGGGAACTCGGAATAATTCGGCGCGGCCAGTAAATATACGGTCTATCATTGTGACGCGCATTCCTGCTGGAGAGCTTCCCAGGGACTCATTGTGTTTGACTCAGAATCTGCATAAGTGCATTAGGCAATATTAGCTAGTGCGGCCTCTGTATTCTAGAATTAACTATTGCTACGCGAAACGGTAGTGACCCTTGACCCTTTAAACTCCGTGTGCGTTTGTGCGGTAACCATTATACCCAGCGATAGTTAGTGGCTTCTGTAAGTTAGTAAATCGTACGATAGAGTTAATTGACTGTCAACGTGACGGAAGAAGAAAGTGACTTTGGACAACCTCGAAAGGCCCCCTCAAGTTGGAGCGGTGTCGACGCTCGGGCTGCTGCCGACGGCCAAGGTCTAGGTTCAATCACCATCAGTCACACCCAGATACACACCACATCACCATTCTTTCCCTTGCACTACACAACCACATGCGACCTGACCGACTCCGGAGGGACCAGTCGCCTTGGATAGGTAAGTAAGCTTCATCCAAATTCCTTCCGGTCGACTGGCCGTAGTATAACGCTCCCCCCTATATTCTAGTGTAATTAGAGAGATTCCACGTGGCCTTAGGAGGCTCGACCTACGTCTGCTCGGGAAGTCTTCAGCTCATGGGCCCCTGATGATTTGATCCTCTAAGGGAGCAGCCGTAGGCCGTAACAAGCTGGTAGCAGAGCGCGGTTCCGGGTTCGATTCCCCGGTCGATCCCGACCATAGTGCTAGATAAACATTAAACAATTTTGGTGGCAGGGAGCGTTGGTGTGATTGGTTTAATTTGTATCTACAATCACGCCCGTCCGTAATACGTAAAAATATTTTTTTGTACGTAATAATAGAATTATTTCCCTTTGTTCTTTGTTGCTTGCCTTTTTTTTGGTTAGTGGGTAGATTTGAAAAGCCGCGCCCTAGGTTGCGCAAGCGGGAGTTTTCTAGAAATATACGTCTTGTGGGTAGATGGTTATTTTTACGTAATCGGTTAATTATCGTTGTCGGATAGTTGTAGTGGATTACTTATCGAAGGGTCGATTTCCGAGCTAGGCATTTTTTGTTGATCGACCGTGATGTGTATCTTCGTTTATACTGTAAGTTGTATTTGAACTAAAGAGTAGTAATTTGTATTTGCGCAATTTGAATTTAACTTGATTTGATCGCACTAGTATTTGTTATTTGTTAATTTGATTTGTGTCTTTTCTTTTGTGCTAACTTGTATTTGGTTGATACGTAGTAATTCGTATTTGTGTAATTTCTATTCAACGCGATTTGATAGGAACTGCATTTATTAACTGTTAATTTTTGTTGTATTTTTTGTTTGTTATCTTTGTAATTTGTGCTCGAGCCGCGTCGTAATTTGTATTTAATAGTGATGACATCGCCCAAGCTACTGATCCGTTGTTTGCGGACTGAGCTACGCTGGGCCACAAGCGCCCATGCTTTGATAGGTCGACCGGATAGGGTCCATAACTTGATGAAGCGGTTCGAGCAGGTGGATGCTCGAAGGGCCGCAGTGGAGGAGGCTTACGCTGAGCTCGAGGATTCGGATGTGGAGAAGGGAGTCCTGGACTCCTGCTTCGCGGACAATGAGCAGTTCTTGTGGCTCACGGACGAGTTGATCGAGGCTGAAGGCAGATATGCCGAGGAGGCGCGTGAAGCTCGGATGAGTGACCTGTCCGAGTCCTCTCTGAAGCAGCTTCAGCCGGAGCTGTTGGGACGACTCCCAACTCTGGACCTGCCAAAGTTCTCCGGGGTCCTTTCCGAATGGCTGACCTTCGTTGGTCTTTTCGACAGCCTAGTGGACGCCCGGAGTGACTTGACCCCGAGCCAAAAGATGGCGTACCTCCTGGCCTCACTGGAGAGGGAGGCCCTGGGCGTCGTCGGCCACTTGAGATTGTCGGACGACGCCTACCAGACTGCTCGGGACCTCCTAGCCAGAAGATACGCCAACGTCCGGCGAATTGCGGACGAACAGGTTAAGCAGCTTCTAAGCCTCCCGCTGCTTAGTGACCGAGCCAGACTACGTCCGGACCTGTTGGATCCAGTCTTAGTGGCCTGTAATACGTTGAGGCGGCTGGAATTACCAGTGGGCGAATGGGCCTTTTTGTTGCTCCGCATCGTGCTGTCCCGTCTACCTCTCGACTTTCGAATCTATTTTGAGGAGAGGTACGGCGGGGACGAGGCCTCCTATATTCCGCCCTTCTATGACCTGCTGCGGTTTTTGGAGGAGCAGTGCCGGCAGATAGAGAGCGCGGCGGGCACCGTTGACGACTTACGAGCCGTGCCCAGTGAGAGGCTGAATCCTCCAGGCAAGTCGTCGTCAACCCCCCCTGCTCCTATTGTCGAGCATCTGATCATCGGGTAACGTCGTGCCCGAAATTATTAGGTAAGCCGGTTCCAGCGAGGCGAACTATCGCCAAGGAGCGCCGCTGCTGCTGTTCATGTTTGGGAGGACACCTCCAGCGAGACTGTCCGCATCGGCGGCCCTGTCTGCATTGCCAGGGCAATCATCATGCCGTTTTGTGCCTGAGTGCGAACGGCGTCTCCTCTCGGGGCTCTGCCAGGCCCTCGACCCCCACGGGCGGGGGCGCTCAGCCACGCCCTCTACCGGGCGACTCTCGGCGCCCGCCGGCCAGCCATCAGGCCCCTAAGTTTGAAAGGGGTCCCTCCCCCGACCAGTCGGGGGGTAATTCCCCCAGGGGCGGGGGTGTCATCACCCCCCCTAAGCGTGTGGAGAGGAACTTCACGGCCACTCACCGGTCCGCTGGACCCTTCTCACTCCCGTTAGCTGAGTGGCCGCGACTGGTGTACCACTGTTCCCCATTTGATGGAGGCGGCCCTGGCTAGCTGCCGCCTTAGCTCCCACCACGGCCACC